TGAAAATTTTTATATGGGACATTCAAAAAAGAAAGTGAGAACCTTTCTATAGGACGGATCTATAGGACGGATGAAGTATCAATTATTAGTCATACTTTTGTAAATACATTTATTTCAATAATACTTTTGAATTTTTTTTAAAACCCTAAAAATATTTTTAAATACATTTGTAAGGGTTAAAAGGTTAATACTTTTGTAAATACAATTTTTCTATAGATTTTAAAAATATTTTAAAAGGTTAAGTTGTCAAAACCTAAAATAACCCTATTGTAAATGTGTCAAGGTGTGGTGATCTCTTAGGACGACTCTTTTCTCCTTTCTAAAACATGGGCACGACTATAAAATACGGGAGCTTTAATTTGCACTTTTAGCTCTATAATTTTTGTGTCGGCGAGTCATGTATTCATATATAACTTTATATAATTGAATATACTCCGTATATGAATCTGTAATTTATACTCCGTACTAGTATTAGGAACCCTTTTCAGTTTTCACCATAAAGTGTCAAATTTTATCAGAATTCAGAAATGAAACTACGTATTAGGTTTACGACTGTATCTCTAAGGCGTAAAGTAACTTTATTATCACAAAATACCATGCAAGTACTACACGTATTTAAAAAGGATTTTGTCATAATAACCCACACTACATAAAGTGTCGATTTTTTGTACTATACCAAAAAAAACAGGAAAATTTGTGTGGTTGAAATACGATTTTTTTGGTACTATGCCAGTATACTACTCCGTATTATAACGATTTTTTTTGAAATAAGGATTTTGTCATAATAACCCACACTACATAATAACGACTTTTTTTTTTGTACTATACCAGTATACTACTCCGTGTTATATACCTTTGTCCCAATAGACTTTGACTCTTTGAATTAAGTGAGAAATAAGAAAAGTAAAATTTGTGTGGTTGAAATTTGTGCAAAGGAAAGAGAAATGAGCAGAACCACAAAATAATTACTTTAATGGGAAAGTGACAAATGTTTTTGGGACAACCAAACAAGGAAAGTTGGAAAAGTCCAACGGGACGGAGTAATATATAGTGGCACATTACCTTCTTCAAAGCTAGAATATATATGGGGGGCATTTTGAAGATTCTTTTGATCGTTTCACATGAGTTTTTTTTGCATGAATCGTTCTCACATGAGTTTGATACATGGAAAAGCTAAGTAAACTTTTCTAGGAGTTTCACTCGATTTGCTCGATTTGTTGGAATCATATTTCCGATCTTTGCGTCCCTTAATACGTGGAAAAGGATGAAGGCTAAGGGGTGTTTAGATGCGATTCTTAAACATTAAAACTGTCCCTACTCCTTCAGGAAGAAAATGTTGGAGTGTTTGGGTGGAAGCGCAGAATTACTTCAGATGCTCTAATTTATTCTTCGAAGCAGTTTTTTTAGAAGCTGGAAATTTCCGACCTTTGCGTCACTTCATACATTATGACTATTAACAACGAAGAAATTTTAGATTGTTTTCAAAAAAACATGACCACCAGGAAAAATCATTTTATGTAGTAAATCTCTTATATTTTATTAATATATTATGGAGTATGTTAAGTTTTAATTTTTAATGTAGTAGTTTTTTGATTGATAAAGATACAATTGTTGAATTATAGCATAAGATATGATTATTGTGATACTTTAAATTTTACTTTAGTTTGAAACACCCAAAACGTAAAGGCTAGATCCGCCACTGAGCTAGGGATACATGTTTCTGAAAACTTATTCTGTTTCTGCTTTCAAAAAAAAACAGAAGCAGAATCAATTCCTAACACTCCTAATAGGCATAACTCAAATGCTAGATAGGAAATTATAAGCATTAAATTTCGGATTCGAATTTTGACAAGCACAATAAAAGTTTACTATGTAAAAATGCACCGAACATATTCATGTCGTACTAGGGCCAAAGTTGCAGTCGCTATATGTTAATCTATGATCAAAGTTTAATTTACACAGATCACAGATTGCTGTGTCATCCTTAATTTCGAGAAGAAAATGGACATGAATGATAATCCAAATTCCGAAATAGTGCTCTAATGTGGTTGCACCAAACCACCCACGTGGTGTAATAAAGTACCCCCTGCTTTCCTACTTCGATGTTAGTCACTCGTTTGACACCACTCGGTCCAATAAAAGATTAAAAGGTGGAATCTTACACCCCACCTGACAAGATGATGGAGAGGTTATACACGTGCGCACAAGAACACCAGTCTTATTTCAAGTTCCGTAACCTCCATACGGCCGCTACGGGTTTCGAACTTTGGTCACTTGGTCCAATTTTTCCACCACTCGACCAACTGAGCTACCCGTGCAGGTACTCGTTTGACACCACTCAAATTGATGAGAAGTTGCTCACATCTGTTTATCTCAATTTTTAGTCTGATTTTTAAAAAAAAAATCTCATCTACTCCGTAATTTAGTAGAACTTTCTGCATTGATCCGATGTGTTTTTGCATTACAACCTTCTTATGTCAACTTCTAATCACTCCATTCTGGTTAGAAAGCTTTTAAATTACGTTCACTAGAAAATGTAGTACGCGTTGCGATTTTCCTAAAAGGAATAGATAGGGAAATAAAAAAGAGGGAAAACTGTCAAATAGGTGCTCAAACTTTCATAAAAAGGTTAATTAAATCTTTCTATAGGAGGTTCTGTCCAGCCGTCGCGATTTGGAGCAGTCCTTGTGGATTTTTTTTATGAAATTTTTTGAGCATCTTATTCACCAAGTTTGGTTTACTCATACCAAATTTCAACTAAAAATTCAATCAGGAACTCATTCAAATTAATTTTGAAGATAACTGCGCATTTTTGCGTACTCGAATTAATTTGAATGCGCTCCCGATTAAATGCTTAGCTGAAATTTGGTATGAGTAAACTAGACTTGATGAATAAGAGGCTCAAAAAATTTCATCAAAAAATTCCACCGGGAACCGCACCAAATCGCGACGACCGGACAGAATCTCTTATAGAATGACTTAATTGACTTTTTATGAAAGTTCGAGCACCTATTTGACAGTTTTCCCTAAAAAGGATGAATACTTCACATTTACACAATGTTTTTTGAAAAGTCCAATACAATTAGACATGTTTAAATATAACTGATAAAAATATATTATTACCAGTAATATATTAGTTTCCTTAAAGAAAACGACTGATAAATTTGAAACGACAAAAGTAGAAAAATTGACGGTACGTTTAATTACTGTATGTTCTTATTTGGTCTTCTTTTATTCCCAGACTAAATCCGACCAAATTTAAACATATCAGACCAGACAAGATCAGATTTAATTAAACAGAACATACCAAACATTCATAGTTATTAAGTACACAAAGACCAAACATTTATTAGACTAGATCAGACCAGTTCAGACCAATCCGGCCTGATCAGACTAGACTTAAACATATCATACCATACCAAACTAATAAATTATATTTCAATTTAAGTAAAAATATCCTAAGGGTTGTTTTTAATATTCCTACTCATGGGAAAATAATTATGATCAAAGATGTGAATTGAAGTTCTTTATACTGTAAATGTGAATTAAAGTTCGTAACACAGAATGAAATTTATCTAAGGAAATACGTAGATAGTTATATATACCAAATTGTTAACTGAACATATAGAACTTTTTTGTTAAGAAACATTGTGGAGTAGCCTGGAAAATCTAGGGGTGCTAATCGAGCTCGAATTTGCATACTTGATAAAAAAACCATTGAGTTGGAGTCGAAAAGTATATACCTCCTCCGTTTTTTTGCAACGTCCCCTTTTCACGTTTGACAACACACAACTTTGATCGTTATTATATTTAATTCCGTATTAGTAAAAATAAAATAAAAATCAGATTATAAAACTTAGTAATGAGACGAATTAAACAATATTTTTCAAAAAAAATAATTCACATACATTAATAAATAAAATGTAGTCAAAGTAAAATACATGAATAGTGTACATACTCCAATGTTGCAACTAATGTGATACGGATGATAGTAACTTGGTTCGAATTTAGTTCGAATTTGAGTCGAGTTCGAATTATATTGCAAAAATGATATATTTTAAACAAAGGGGTTGATTTGTTATGCATTTCATCACATATCACCAACAATTAAATTTCTCTAAATATACGCGCAATGCACGAAAGCTAATGACCATAATTGAAATAGTAATCCTCATATCTATTTTACTAGTTTAATTTGAGAAATCCTCATATCAATTTGATTAACACATTAGTAACTCTGATTTTCGACTTATCAAATTTATTCACCAACTTTTTCACCAAATATGTTACAAGATATTTGATCGATTCTTCTATTTCTTTGAATCTCTCCAATACCGATACAAGGATTTACTACTCCTATTTTTTTTTTTTGAAAGCACTCCTAAATATTCTATTACACGATAATAATGGAATTAATGTTAGATTTTAATTTTGGTCATTAAAGGGAGTTTGAGTACGAATTGGATTTGAATTGAGTTGACTTAATTTTGAGTATGGACGGAATGAATGTCGTATAACTTTCGAGTAGACGTATTGATTAGCTTCAGAAAAACCTAGTAAGTACTATAATTATAAATCCAATCTTTCAACAAAAAAGATACACCCCATCCATGAGGTCCCTCATCTTGACCGGATGGTACATTGGGATGATGTAAATTGAATTATAATCGCAATCTCACAGATAGAGAATGAAGCTTTGTCCCCAATACTCGCAGAGGCAATATATATATATGCATTTAACATAGTCAACTCTCATTACAGTTGTCGATATTCGAATCCGGGACTTGTGACACTCCCTCGATACGTGCACGGGTATAAATCCAATCTTTCAAATAAGTAAGTGTAATGAAGTAGTTGGTTCAAAATAAGTCAATCAAAGAGTTTTATTATGGTCGAATACCCCCAAGAATGGATCCCACAAGAATCCATCCCATTAGAGTTTGTCCACTCATTTTTCATTTATATCTTTGAAATTTTGCTTGTCGGCCAGTTCTCTCTGAAAATAAAGTCCATTTTCACACTTTCTCTGAGCTTCAATTATTATATCGATACATCTATATATATATACTACGTATTATAGAAGGAAAAAATATTCATCTGCAGAAGGAAAAAATATTCATCTGCAGAAGGAAAAAAAGAAAAAGACCAAAGAAGGGAAAGAAGATTATTGGGAGTGAAGAATAATGGAGGATCACACTCATGGAAGAGAATCTAATGAAAAGATTGCAGCAATGAACGGTCACGATGAGCCAGAGCCAAACTACCGGGGAATCAAAGCGATGCCTTTCATCATCGGTGAGTTATTCGTACTTCTCCCGTTCTCAAAGATCTTTACACTTTCCATTTTTAGCAGTACCAGAAAGATCTTTACACTTTCTTATTTCTCTTAGTTGGCAAATAAATCTACACAAAAAATGTCAAAAAGTGCCAAACAATGACAAACAGTGTTTATTTCTTTAAAAACTGTGAAGTCAGAGTGCGGAAATCTTTTGGAAGTGATGGAGTATATGAATACTCCGTATATAACTCTGCTAGCTAGCTGGTGGACCGGTAGTCCTCCATCCCTTAAAATTTGTTGTCCAAATTATTTGTGATATTAAAATGATGTGATATGTACTAATCATTTTTTCCCTGAAAACGCTTTCTCAAGTGTATACAGTTTATAATTTTCATAAAAGTTTTCGAATAAAAATCATGGTTCAAAGATCAAGGGATCGGGGATGTTTGCAAAAAACTTTAAAAAAATGTTTTTCAGATTTTGGCTTGAAAAAATTGAAAAGAGTATTTTCAGAAACATATTTCTTTTAGAAATTGCTCTAAATAGGAGCAAAAATGTTTTGAAATTCTAAAATAGGAATATCATGTTTTTTATTCCCTAAATATGAATAATCTGTTTTGAATCTTTTTTTTGAAAGATCATAGAAACGATTCCACCAGGTGTTCTTATCAAAATCTAATACGCACAATTTCCAGATAATTTCAATAAGAGGATGTTCTTAAGATAAACAGAATAAAAATGTAAATGGTGTAGTCTCTTTGGATCTGGAATAGTTTGAAAAAAAATGTTCTTAAGTAATCTGTCAAGTTTGAAAAAAAATGTAAAATGTTTTAAACCATAATAATGTCAAATTTGGCAGAAATTTACTCTTATTCAAGGAATAAAAAACATGATATTCCTATTTTGGAATTTCAAATCTTTTTTACTCTTATTTATTTCTTTCAGGAGAACTTTCTCAAAAAAATCATTTTTTAAAAGTAATCCCAAGCACTTCAAGTCAAATATACCAGATTACCAGGCAATTGAGAAGGATGGTTAGCAATTGAGAAGCAGTAAAAATATACGGGTAAAAAGGTCAAACACTTATGAGCTATTGGTCAAACTTGATTCAATTAAATTTGCCCAAATTTGAATGAAGAAGTACAAGTCGTTGGGATTGGAAAATTCTTTTATTCAATATCAAGAACAGAATTACAATAGGAGGAGTAAACTCCCACAATCAACTATTACAAAAAACCAATCATCACCAATACACTTCTACTCTAAGTGTATTTCACTCTTCACACTTTTTTCACTTTCTAAAATTGATGATATGAACAACAATAGAACACTCTATTTATAGAAAGTGAGAAAAGTGTGTGAAGAGTGAAATACACTTAGGGTAGAAGTGTATTGGTGAGGATTGATTTTTGTAATAGTTGATTGTGGGAGTTTGCTCCTCCTGTTGTAATTCTGTTCTTGATATTGAATAGAAAAATTTTCCAATCCCAACGCAAGTTTCTATTTCCAGAAGAAAAGATTGCAGTGCTCGTGCTATTTTAGAATTTCATAACATTTTTACTGATAGTTAGAGAAAAACTCCTAAAAATTAAACAGCTCTAGATCAAGCCAAATCGATCCGAGCTCGAGATGAAAACATTACTATCGTTTGAGCTGAGTTCAAACTAAATCAAATGCATAGTTTCAAACTCAAGCACCCCAAAGTTTGAACTCAGCTCAAAACCGTAGTTAGCATCCTTGATTACATGTCAATTTGATTATTTACTCCAATTTTCTTTTAAGAAATCCAGTAAGTAAAGATGTTGATGTGTGCAATAATATGTATAATTAGGAAATGAGACGTTTGAGAAGCTGGGAGCAATAGGAACGTTGTCAAACCTGTTGGTGTATCTGACGACAGTTTTCCACTTGAAGCACATAACGGCGGCGAATCTGCTGAATATCTTCAACGGAACCACCAATTTCGCCACCATCCTAGGTGCTTTCATTTGCGACACCTACTTAGGCCGCTACACCACCCTGGGAATCTCCACCGTCAACTCTTTCCTGGTAAGGTCTACCTACCCACTCACTATTAAATTGTTCCAAAAGGTGTAATCTCCCATCATGAGCCCCACACCCTGATTTACAAAAGGTTGTAAATCACGGTGATCCAGTCACCGTAATGGCAGGCCTTATAACTGTGCGCATCAGAAGTTCAGACCAGCACGCAGGAGCTGTAACCTCCCCACGGTCGTTGCGGGCTTCGAACCTTGATCATTGTTCCAAATTTCCCACCAATGAATTAACTGAGCTACCCGTGCGGGTACCGACTCACTATTAAAGATGTTTTCTTCAGGAGTGTTTCAGTCCCAAACCAGACCATATCATATCAGACCAGATCAGACCACGTCACACCAAACTAAACTTCCGTAATTATAAAATACACAGAGACCAGACGTTTACTAGACTAGTTAAGACCAGTTCAGATCAGACCAGATCAACAAATTTCAGTCCAAAAGAAAACATCCTAATTCCTACAATGCAAGGATTAATCAAGTATCAACCTGAAAGAACTAAGGATGTTTTTACTTGGACTGTTTTAAATCCCATATCAGACAAGACTTAAACAGACCGGATCAGACTTAAACAGACCAGACCAGATCACACTTGACTTCCATAGTTATAAAATACACAGAGATAAGAAGTTTACCAGACCAGAACAGACCAGACCAAACTTAAACAGATCTGACCAGACTTAAATAGACCAGACCAATAAATTACAGTTCAAGTAAAAACATCCTAATTGACTACATTTTAAAGAAATAGAACACACTGGATGCATAGATCACCCGATAGGAAAGAGTGCCACAAGGAAAAGGTGTTAGTTCAATTACAAACAATACTTGGGATGGAACTCCACTTTCTTCTCATCAGAAAGAGATTCATATCAAAACTGAATTTAAATCCTCTGAGATAACTGTTCGGTCGATTCTAGGGATACTCCGGATGGATCCGGATGGAGTGTCATCCTCTCTAAAGAGATATACTACGTATGAGGGTACAAAAATGTTACTCATTTAATTCAAAGAAATAGTAGTTGATAATTTTTTTTGAAGTTTTTCCTAATATATTACTAATAAAAAAACATGGACAAAAATGTGACATAATATAATTGTGTTTCAAAATTTACATCGTAGTAACTATCATGTAGTCACTATGGATACAATATGATCATTTATAATTACTAAGTCATATTTTTGTCTACTACTTTCTCAAAAGTAATATTAGTAGATTTTTTTCATTTTTTTTTTCAAACAATGATCTATTTACTCCATTGAATTTGTCCACTTAATCATGCCTCTTCTATTTTAAAAAAATGAAGGGGTTGTTGTTGATATCATTGACAGCAGTATTCAAGAAGCTGCACCCTCCGGCGTGCAGCACTGAAGGGAAATGTGTGGGACCGACCGCCGGTCAGATGGCGTTCCTCCTCTGCGGGTTCGGGATGCTTATCGTCGGCGCGGCCGGAATCCGGCCGTGCAACTTAGCATTCGGGGCGGACCAGTTCAACCCGAAAACAGAGTCAGGGAAGAGGGGGATCAACAGCTTCTTCAACTGGTACTTCTTCACCTTAACATTCGCGCAGATGGTGTCGGTGACGCTGGTGGTTTACATCCAGTCGGAGGTAAGCTGGTCGATCGGATTGGGGATTCCGGCGATTTTCATGGCGGTTTCCGGCTCTCTGTTCTTCCTGGGTGATAGAATGTATGTGAAGGTGAAGCCGGAAGGCAGTCCCCTCACTGGGATTGTCCAAGTTTTGGTGGTTGCCCTCAAGAAGAGGCGTTTGAAGTTACCAGAAGAACCCTCCCTTTCTCTATTCAACTACTCTCCTCCCAAGTCAATCAATTCTAAGCTTTCTTACACAAATCAATTGAGGTAATTATTAATTAATCTAATTTTAAACATTTCCAATTTAATTGGAGGTTTATACAAGCGCACACATTACAATTTACAAAGCTCACATTTGTTGTTTCTGTATATAGATACTCCGTATTTACAAAAAATGTACATCAATCACGATTTACAATTGAGTATACAGACAACTGAAGTCTTTGTATAACATTGTTGGTTATGTACACAGACAAATTAATCTTGATACTCCCTCTTATCCTAAATAAACTTCACACTTTCCATTTTGGGTAGATCCAAAATAAACTTCACACTTCTTCTCCTTTCCTTATTTGGCAAATTATCTACATCAAAGCAGTGTCAAACAATGTTAAACAGTGTCACAACAGTGTACTCTACAGTAAAGTCAAATTTATTTCCTTAATTTGTGTGAAGTCAAAGTATGAAGTTTGTTCAGGACCGGAGAGAGTATTAATTTTATATGCAGACAAAAGTGTCTGTACTCATATACTACGTATTTTTATCTGTGTACATCGACATTGATTTCCGTACAACTAGAAAGTACCTTAATCAATGTAATTTAGAGACAAACTAAATTTTGTTCACAAGAACAAGTTTTATCAAAATGTGTGTATTTCTACTCTTTTTTTTCTGCGAAGGATAAATAAATACGAAGTACAGTCTAACTCACGACGTACATAAAGCATTTTTCACCGGTGGGCGTAGCTCAACTGGTAGGAAGGGAGTGCCACAAGGGTTAGGTCCCGGGTTCGAATCCCGGCAACTGCGATGAGGGATTACTATGCTAAAAAATGCATAGGACCTCTGCAAGTACCGGGGACAGAGTCCCACTCTCTATCTGTCAGATTGAGATTATAGTCCAACTTACATCCACCCAACGTACTGTCCGGTCGGGGTTGGGGGCCTCAGGAATGGGATGTCATCCTTTTTTTTAAAATAAATTTTCTTTTTGATGGTCTCCATTGAGTGGACTTTTCCCGTAAGAGAGAATAAGAGAGGTTAAAAGATATTGAGGTAGGGACAGGATATTGACTAACAAAAAAATGCTTTAACAAAGGTGTGTAAAAAAATGACATCCACAGCCCATAGTGACCAGTCCTCCGCTACTCCAGTGACCCGTCCTTGCCGCCCCACCGCCCACAGTGACTCGTCCCCACTGCCCCCCAATCACCCGTCCCTGATGTCGCCGGTGACCCGTCCGCCGCCTTCACCAGTGACCAGTCTACTTCTGCCGCCACTGACCAGTCCCTGTCGCCACCAGTGACATGTCCACCACCGCTTCCAGTGACCAGTCCCTGCTTCCGCCAGTGACCAGTCCCTGCCACCTCTAGTGACCATTCCGCCACCGCCACCGACAGTTACAAACCACCCAAACACCTCCCCGCATCCCCTTCTCCAACTGCACCCTACTCCCCATAGCCCCCTCCCTCACGGCCTTGACCTATCTCCATCACAATCCCTGACCTGTCCCATCCCTAGTCGCCACAGCCACTACCCAACCCTAGCTCCGACGCAATCGCTTACCATCTCTAGCCGCCGCCATTACCCCTAGCTCCGCCACAGTCTCCGACAACCACAGATCTAGTCGCGACCACTGCCCAACTTAACCAGAAACTGTGACAATCGCCAAACCACCATACCAAAGCCCACCCACATCTGGCTGCCGCCACAGATCTTAAATCTAACCGATTCCATTTTTTCCGATCTGTTGTAGCCATTTTCTACACCTGAGGCACATCGTCTTCATTGCCTTCACCTCTAATCGAACAAAAAATAAAGAAGAAGAAGAAGAAAAGCAAAGGGTGCCAACCTAGAGGCGGAGAAGATGAACCGGAGGCAGAGACGGAGAAGATAACCTGGAGGCGGGGGCGGAGAAGACAATCTGGATTTTGGAGGCGTCGGATGGAGTTTCTGCACTGAAATGCGTTGTAGAAGAGAATGGAGATTGGGCGTTGGTCTCCTCTGAGGTTTGCAGACGGGAATTATTTTGGGGTAATTGTGTCCACTCAATTTTAATTAATCACTTTTTTTGTCTATATTCAAATTAAGTCCTGTTTTTGTCTAGATGAAAGCTGGTAGTCTTTTTTTGTCATTCTTTCAATAAAGTATGTACAAAAGATTTTTTTTCAAAAAAAAAAAATACAGAGTAGTGAAATACATGATGGCTTGGTGCGGTATCTAAAAAATAAAAGATAAAATAAATTTTTACTGTTCAAACTCTAACAAAAGTAAGAAAATCAATTTGTAAGATAATTTACAAAAGGTAAAGCGTGAAATTATATGTAAAGAGGTAAAAGTGAAAAAAAATTACAGGAAAATAAAACAAAATTTTGAAATTGTTTATATTTTAAGGACGACCTAAAAAGGAAAGTGTATCGTACAAAATGAGACATATGAAGTACTTTTATATGAAGTATTTCGTATTAGGATCTACATTTTAAAATTACTTTCACTCTTTCGATGAAGAGAACAAATATTAGAGTGTTTGAGTGAAAATGCAGAAGTATTTCTAAGTGTTTCAAATTATTTTTAAAAGCAGACGGGGAAACAACTTTTTGAAAAATTAATTCTCATTTTATTTCTACTTTTAAAAACAAACAGAAGCAAAATAAACACTTCTATATATAGCGAAGAGGTGCTTTTGGTGTTTTTAATAACATAAGGCATTACAGAGTACCTAAACACAAAATTTTAGGATTTTTATTTGAACTTTTTTTAGTCACTGATAAGATAAGATCAGACCTGACTTGAACAGTTATGAAATGCACAGATTTACCAGATCAAATTAAACCAATTCAAGCCAAACTAGACTAGCTCAGAGCAGCAAATTTTGTTCAAGTAAATACATCCTTAATTTATCTTCTTTGCGGTTTCCACATACACTTTCAACAAATATTTGCTAGTCTTGTCTCGCCTGGTCTGATGTGGTTAATGTCAAATCTCTGTGTATTTTATAACTATGGAAGTCTGATCCGATTTGAGATCTAAAATAATCAGAACCAAAACATCTGAGTCTATTCGTTACATAAGTTTGAAAAAAAGAAACTTCTTTGCACGCCTTCATTGACGGATTGAAATTGGAAGTAGAAAAAATGACCAATTCATTCGCAAATCAATCTCTGAACAGAGACAGGCACGCAACCTTTTCTCAATTAGTGCAATAGAAAATCTAATTAACCTCATTGCTACTCAAAGAATTCCGTTGTCAAACATGCTGATTCGGCACGTAACTCCTAAATTCATTGAGATCTTCAAAAAAATGTATGCCTATAAAAAATTATAAAAAGATTCTTGCAGCCCTAAAAACGTTCAACGCCAAATATATATACTACGTCAAATATATTTTATATTTTTGAAATAGAGAAGTATTTAACGAGAAAATATCCTACTCGAGTTATTTGGAACATGGCAGTACTCATTCATGAATTAAGATGTTTTTAGTTGGACCTCCTTCAGTCCCAAACAAGAACAAGTTAGATCAGACTTAAGATATTTTTAATTCAATTGAGATTTTCTAGTGTAAACTGGTATGATTGGTCTGTTTAAATCTGGTCAAACTTCAAAAGGTAAGAAAATCACTTTTCTAAGATAATTTACAAAAAGTAAAATGTGAAATGATATACTACTATAAAGAGATAAAGTGCAAAAATAAAAAAATTACGAACTAATAAATCAAATTTATGAAATTGTTCACATTTTAGAGAGGACCTAAAAAGAAAAGTGTATCTTATGAAATTGGATAAATAGATTATTTTCATACGGAGTATTTAGTATTATCTTCTTTTAAAAGAATCCCTATTATTTATTGACCGTTAAATATATGGTAGTATTTGGATCTAATTTGAAATTGGATATATGGTAGGTAATAGTAAACTCTACCCTGTCTGCTGACCCAAAACACCAACAACACAAGTAGCTTTTATATTTGTACTACTTAATCACCAACCAATGATGATGAGAGTTATTACTTATAAGATACACAATAATAGTAATAAAATAATAGATGTTTTCTTACTCAAATGAAATTTTCTGCATGACTGCATTTAATCCTTCATAGGAAATTCACCTTTCTTTCATATTCTGGCCCTTTTCTCCATGACTGCTTTTATTCTTAAAGAGAAACCCCCTTTCTTTTATAATCTGACCATTTTCATTTAAAGAGTAGGCACACAAGTATTTAAACTTCTTACATTTTGACAGAATCAAGTTTTGTGAAGTTGTTTCCTTTTGACTAATCAAAATGCCATTGGCTTCAGATTTCTTGACAAGGCTGCAATAATGACTGGAGAAGATAAACTGAAAGTAGAAGGATCATCTGCCAATCCATGGAGACTGTGCAGTCTGCAACAAGTGGAAGAGGCCAAATGTGTGTTTAGAGTAATCCCAATTTGGGCATCCGCAATACTATTCCACATTGCCCTATCACAACAATCACAATATGGAGTGTTCCAAGCCCTACAATCTGATAGACAATTTGGCCCCAAATTCCAAATCCCAGCTGCAACATACTCAATCTTCTCTATGCTAAGCCTCACTCTCTTTGTCCCGCTCTACGACCGATTCATCGTCCCCTTTCTACGGAGGTACTATTTAAATCTGAGACTTTATATGTTTGTTTGAATTTAAATAATTGTTCGATACAAGATGGATAAATATGCCTTGTAAGATGATAGCTCTTCTCGTTTTTAAGATATGTGTTAAAAAGAATTGTTCATTTGACTTAGTTGAAGTTTCTTTCGAAAAGTCAGCATAAGAAATTAAGAAGAGAAGTAGCTTAAAATTAAATATCCATATACATTTTTTATGCTGGTCTGGATATTTATATTTGTTTTGTGTTGGATGACTTAAAAGGTATACCAAAAAAGAAGAGGGCATCACTCTGCTACAAAGACTTGGAATTGGCATTGCCCTTTCTGTGGTGGCATCATTTGTTTCAGCCTTCGTGGAGGAACGCAGAAGGCACATCGCACTAACAAAGCCAATGCTGAAAGGTGGTTCGGTTTCTTCCATGTCTGCTATGTGGTTGGTCCCTCAGCTCTCCTTGGCAGGGCTGGCCGAGGCATTCACCTCCATTGGTCTGGTAGAGTTCTACTACAAGCAGTTCCCAGAGAACATGAGGAGCGTCGCAGGGTCGTTTTTCTTTTTGGGGATGGCCGCGTCTAGCTATCTAAACAGCTTCTTGATCTCCATTGTGCATAGAACCACAGAAAATGCGAAAACTGGGAACTGGCTGCCAGAGGATCTCAATCAGGGGAGATTGGATTACTTCTATTTCTTAGTCACAGGCCTAGGGGTCCTAAATTTGGCATATTTCTTACTATGTTCAAAATGGTACCAATACAAGGAGGGGACAGAAGGAGCCATCAAAGAAACAGAAATGGAACCAAAGAAACTTGACAACAAAAATGCAGTTTGAAGTGGATGATAAGTCAGTGTGCTTCTTTGACACTCATGATGGTATGGTTTGTATCTCGGCCTTCCAAGCCTTCCTTCTCATCTCCAATGAGTTCTGCCAAAAAGAGAGATACTCCCTCCGTCCCCTTTTAAATGTCCCATTTTACCATATTGGGATGTCCCTATTTAATTGTCTCATACCTTATTTGGTAAAGTTTGTGTGGCTCAAAATCATTCTTACTTTATTCTTACTTTATCTATTAATATCAACCACACAAACCTACTTTTCTTAAAACTCGTGCCACCCTCTTCCGGGACATTTAAAAGGGGACGGAGGGAGTATCATGCAACTTAAGAAAAAATCATATACCGGTATCTGGCCAATTTTACCAAGAATCCAAACCCTTTAAGATACACTTTATTTTTCTTTTAGCGCGCTCCCCCATACATCCATGAAATTCCACGTCAATCTGTACTCATGTAAAATCATAATTGTTTCAGTAGTATATTGAGTTTTAGACAATGTAAAATCATAATTGTCTTTGGAGTAGTAAAATTATATTCAGAATTTCAGGCCAAGTGAAAAAAGAGAATGTTTCATTATATTGCATCAGTCAGTTACCATAACAAATATATTGGTTTGGATTTTTAGACATCAAGTTGAATGTACAATTTGTTCCTGAAAATGATGAATGTACAATTTGTTCCTGAAACTACTTAGACTATTGTGCGTAGTGATTTCACATTTTATGTTGATGCATCTACCAACAAAATGGTGTAAACAAATTTGCTTCTAGTGTAAGTTGGTCATTTACATTATTGCATAAAAAATTCACATGTATACATCAGTTGATGGTGTGAGTTTTTACTTATGGTTACGTTGAAAACAGTTTAGTTCTAATGCAAATGATTTCAAATGCGTGTAAATAAAATGAAAAAAGTTTAGCTCTATCGTAAGTGATTTCAAATGCATATGAATAAAATGTTAGAACCCTAATGTCCCTTGTGAAATGTAGAAAAATCCAATGACTTTGATATTTTTACAGGCAGTAATTTAATGAAAAATCGAAGCATGCTTATAGTGTTGGGATTGGAAAATTCTTCTATTCAATATCAAGAACAGAATTACAATAGGAGGAGCAAACTCTCACACTCAACTATTACAAAAAACTAATCCTCATCAATACACTTCTACACTAAGTGTATTTCACTCTTCACACACTTTTCTCACTTTCTAAACTGATACTATGAACAACAATGGAGCATTCTATTTATAGGGCTGGTTTGGAGACATGAGAAAGTTGCATCCAAGCTTCCTAGTTATCTCCATATCTTCTCCCACACCTATTTGTTGGAGAGCTCTTTCCAAGAAGGTGCCTCCATGTTAAGGTGTCTCTTGGCAACTTCCAAGAAAGAAGGTGGAAGATACCTACAAATCTCCCCCTCCACCTTCTTCTTTATTTCTCTCGTTCCTGCGGTGCTCGCTGGCTCCCCCTCGCTGGCAACAAGTATCCATTCGGATGTGGAGTATTTTATTTGTGGAACTATGCCTCGCATAGAACGTCGAACATGAATACCTTCAGATTCGTCTTCAGATGAAGGCTCCCCCTGCTGAGGAATATCATCACTGTGAGTATCATCATCACCTGCTGAACCATCACTCTTGTGTTCAGTAGAATCATGCATCTCCTCGTCGCTAAGAGGAATGTTTGATGATACAGGCACTTCGTCTTCTGGAGTATGTTGTTGGCGGATTATTGGAGCACACCCATGAAACTCGTTTTCATGAAATACAACATCTCTGCTTCGAATAACTTTCTTCACTTCGGGATCCCACAACCGGTATCTGAATTCTTCATCTCCATAGCCGATGAAGATACATGGGTTTGACTTGAGATCAAGCTTCTGTCTCAACTCCTTGGACACATGTGCAAATGCCTTGCACCCGAACACTTTCAAGTGAGAGTAAGAAACATCTCTTCCTGACCATTTCTTCTCTGGCACTTCAAAGTTTAAAGGAACAGAAGGTGACCTGTTTATAAGATAACTGTCAATTGTATTGAATACCTCTCAATGTGAGGGTTCTTCCTATTATATAGAACAATTACAAGAATAAATAAGGCAATTAAAATCTACCTATTAATTACAAGATACTATACAAAAACATACCATAACTAGAGAAACTAATTATGGCTAAATATACAAAATATATATGCTATATCTGATTGACATCCCCCCTCAAATTGATGCTGGTCGATCAAGAAGCATCAATTTGCCCACAAGGAACTGATGACGCTGTCCTGTCATGGCCTTTGTGAATACGTCAGCTATCTGAAGATCAGTGGAAACATGAGGAAGAGATATAACACGAGTGTCCAAGGCTTCTCGAATAGAATGACAATCTACTTCAATATGCTTCGTACGTTCATGGTAAACAGGATTAGCAGCGATTTGAATGGCACTAGTATTATCAGCATGAAGAGGAGTAGAATCAGATTGAGAAAAACCAAGCTCAGCCAGAAGCTCACGAAGCCAGACAATCTCAGAACAAGCAGCAGACATTGCCCGGTATTCAGATTCAGTAGATGATTTAGAAACGTGAGCTTGTTTCTTACTCTTCCAAGAAATCAAAGAATCACCAAGAAACATACACCAACCCGTGACAGACCGCCGAGTATCAGGGCATCCGGCCCAATCTGCATCACTATAAGCAACAAGACGAAGAGAAGAGCCAGCTGGGAAGAACAACCCACGGCTAGATGACCCCAGAAGATACCGAATGATACGGCGGACATCAGCTAAATGAAGGTGGCGTGGAGTCTGCATAAATTGGCTAACCTGCTGAACAGCGAAGGAAATATCAGGCCGAGTAATAGTCAAGTAGTTCAAGCTGCCTACCAACTGTCGGAACATAGTAGGATCAGAAAGAAGATCGCCCTCCTCACTTCGATATTTCAAATTGACCTCCATAGGAGTATCCACCGAAGAAGAATCTTGAAGACCAGCTAGGCGAATCAAATCCTGGGTATATTTGTGTTGATTTAAGAATATACCTGAAGGATCAGTGTGCACCTCCAACCCCAAAAAATACGTAAGAAGACCAAGGTCTTTCATATGAAAAGAAGCCTGAAGATTCTGCTTGAGATGGGCAATCAAACTGGAGTCGGTGCCAGTAATGACAATATCATCCACATACACAAGTAAAAGAACAAGTCCAGCTGGAGTCTTACAAAGGAACAAAGAAGAGTCATATTGGCTTTGGGCAAAGGAGAAGTGAAGCAGAGTTGACCTGAATTTTTCAAACCATGCCCGCGGAGCCTGTTTTAAGCCATAGAGAGACCGCTTTAACTTACACACAGCGGAAGATGGCGAAGAAAACAAACCCGGAGGAGGAGTCATGTAAATATCCTCTTTGAGATCACCATGAAGAAAAGCATTCTTGACGTCCATCTGGTGAAGCGGCCAGCCTTGAGAGGCGGCAATAGAAATAACTGTACGCACTGTGGTCATCTTCGCCACTGGAGCAAATGTCTCCTCATAGTCCACCCCATATTCTTGCCTGTTTCCAAGAGCAACTAATCGTGCCTTATACCGATCCAGAGTCCCATCAGAGCGGAGCTTAATCGAATAAACCCATTTACAACCAATGGCTTTAACATTAGAGGGGCAAGGAACCACGTCCCATGTATGATTGTCCTGGAGAGCCCGAAGTTCCTCATCCATCGCTTTCCGCCAACATTCATATTTAACAGCCTCGGAAAAGCATGTAGGGATGGAAATAGAAGACAAAGTAGTATTAAAAGAAGTGTGGGGAAAACCATACCGATCAGGAGGACGTGATACTCGGGTAGATCGTCGAGGACCAGATTCAGGAACTGTCTCAGATGGTGGGTCAATCTCAGGAGAAGTGGTCTGAACAGATTCAGATGAAGGGTCAGTCTCGGGAAGGGGCAAAGTCGGTCGACGTCGAGTATACACCATTCCAGGTTTGAACCGTTCAGGCAGAGGAGACAATTCATCAAAACAAGGGATAATACTAATCTCAGGCAATGATTCAACATATGTAGAAAAGAAATATTGATTCTCAAAGAAAACAACATTACGAGATATACGAATTTTGTTAGAACAAGGATCATAACAAACATAACCTTTGTGAGAAATACTATAACCCATAAAGGCACATTTAACAGATTGAGTAGAAAGTTTATGACGTTCGTGAGGAGGTAAATGAACAAAACAAACACAGCCAAAAGTATGCAGATTAAGATAGCTAGGATGCTGATGATACAAACGATAATAAGGAGAATCAAAATCCAAGACCTGAGAGGGCAGTCTATTAATTAAATAAACTGCAGTAGATAAGGCCTCAACCCAGAATTTAGAAGGAACAGAAGACTCAAGCAATAAGGTGCGAACAACGTCCAAGAGATGTCGATTCTTTCGTTCAGCCACCCCATTTTGCTGAGGGGTATAAGGACAAGAGCGCTGAGAGACAATTCCTTTGTGGTTTAAGAAATCATGAAACTCGTGGGACATATATTCTCCACTAGAATCAGACCTCAAAATCTTAATACCTGTAGAAAATTGGGTCTCAACATATGCTACGAAGGTCTGAAAAACAGACAAGACCTCAGATTTGGACCGAAGAAAATAGACCCAAGTATACTGACTAAAATCATCGATGAATGTCACAAAATATTTGTATCGAGCATGAGAAATAATAGGAGAAATACCCCATACATCACTATGCACAATATCAAAACATTTTTTAGCACGACTACCATGAGAAGAGAACGAAAGAGTCTTACTCTTACCAAGTTTGCATACAGAGCAGTCAAATGACAAATTTTTAGAAACTTGTTCTTTATTGCTTAACAAACCAGAATTTAACATATGAGATAGAACAACAGAGTTTGGATGACCCAAACGTTTGTGCCAAACTTCATTTGGAGTGTTAACAGACACACAAGCCAAAGATAAACAACTAGGAATTGAAAAGTGTAGTGGAAATAGTCTTCCAACTTTAGGCCCCTTCGCGAGTATCTTCCCCGACACCTGATCCTGCACAAGACAACCATCACGAGAAAAATGGACATCACAGTTTTTTTCAACTAACTGGCCAACTGAAATAAGACTATTAGACAGTCCAGGAGATACATAAACATCTCTGAATGAAGAATTGATATCCCCTACTTCATTAATAGCTAAATGACTCCCATTAGCTA